ACCGGGACGGCAATTTTAAGTTTGGTTAACCAGGGACAAGGGAACGGGAAGGGGGAGGAGGTCAGTAAACAGCTCAAAGATGATTATAAAATATCAAATACTTTATTAAATTAAAAATCAGTTTTTTTAAATGATTTTTTTAAGCATTACTTACTATTAAAAACACCTTTAATTTCTTTATCTGTTGATAGGCGCATAACTCAACAACGCCTGGACCAATTTGGTCAATTCTTTTTTTAAAATGTTCGTTCAAGTCCAAAATCAAATAATTTTCGGGAAAACCCTGAAAACAGCCCTTTTTTCTCATATAAACGTTTTCTAACTAAAACGTAGAATCAATTTGAGCTTTATTGCTATTATATAAAGTTCATATTGAATTACAAGCACCCACTCCTTCTAAACGATTATGCGGATTTTGATAAATCTTTCTGAAGTTTAAGGAAATTTTCTGGGATGTATGCCATTATAAAGTACTGGGATGTATGTGCAATATTGTAGAAATAAATGGAATTAATTGTAAAAAACGACATGTCATTGTTTGCATTGAAAACAAATGAAAACATCTGCCAAAAATTTTAATTTACTTATGAACCTAGACAATATTAGAATATGTATAATAAATTTATGATTATGATGCTGAGATGTGGCAGAAATTACAATAATATATGATACAGTATATGGCAGATTGAATGATACACTTATGAAAAAAATAATTCACTTAAAATTTGAAATTAAGTATTAATCAGGGCCTGTCCTACCTTGAATGCGATGCATGCGAAAAATACGAGCGCACGCCTTAGGGGGCGCAACACGAGACTCGGTTATTAAATTTTCAATATAGTTTTTCATTTAAAATATAATTCATTGGCATATTTTACTAATCTTTCCACAATATTTTTAAAATTCGTAAAAAGTTCACTTTATAACAACAAATGGGAAATTAAAGATGAATACATACAATTCGGCCCTCACGATATCGATTAAGAGACGTTTAAGATGCAATTTTGGATATCTTAAATAATAAAAAAATTAAATTAATTTAATCCAACATGAAGTACCAGTATATTTTATGGTTATGGTTATGTTATACTGTTTAAAAGACTTCAATTTACAATATAGTGTGGGATTTAAGACTCATCATTTTATAAAGCAGTTCTACATTTAACAACGCTCATATTATAAATGTATATGCATTTTGGCATGAAGAGTAATTTAAAAAACAATAATTATTATTTTTGGGTAAACGGTAAATATTAGTATATTATATTAAAAAATTGTAGACATAGGTACAGGACAACGTCTGTCGGGTCATCTAGTTAATTATAAAGGAACTAGTAAAGTCCTATTCAGCGCTGTTCCGAAATGATATCTTTTGAACAATTTTTAATTTTCAAAATCGGTTCAGTAATTTGCGAAAACTTGGACAATTTTTTTTACAATTTTCTGTTATTTCCATAAAAGGCTTAGCTGATCACTTTCAAATCCATTCAAGACTTATCCTTTGAGTTACATTGAATGGCATGTAAAAATATTTAAATATATTTAAATTAGTCTTATTTAATGCAGATCGACTTGAAACATCGATAAAACGTAAAATGGGCAAATCGGACTTTCTGGTAAAAACAAATTCATCCTTCAAGAAATTGTAAAATAACCTACATATGACAGATCTAAAAATGAAATTACTAACAATGTAATATTTACCAGATTAATTTATGTGTGTGTTTGAAAGTGTGTGTGTATGTGTGTGAGTGAATGACATGAACCAAATAGCTCATAGAATCATCATGTATCCTAATTGGTATTGAAAATAAAACTAAAAAAAAATATATATCCATAAATTTTATTCCAAAACAAAACCAAGTCGACATGTCAAACAAATGAAAATGTATTAACCAAACGCAAAATTTCCTAAAAAAAATCGTAAAAATTCCAAGTAACCGTTTAGACGTCCCAAAGTCTAAACATGAAAATATAGTCCATTCCATCAATTTTCTGTCCATCAGTTTCTGAAGTCTTTTACACGATGCCTCACCCTGGTTTCATGTTCGGAACGAGTATCCTGTTCGCCCTCAGTACTGCCGCATTGGCCTACATCAAACCAGGCTGTCTGGACAATGAGCGGGAGGACGAGGAGCAGCAGGAAGAACCAGAAGAGAAGCCTATTGATATGACACCTTCACAAGAGTAAGAGGATAATTACATTGTTAACTTACCGAAGGAGAAGTTTATGTTTTTATCAAAAAAACAATTCGCTAATTTTATGTTCTCTCCTGAACGTTTCATGACATTCTGAATCGAATGAGACCAAATTTAAGTGAAAAGTATGTATGGTTGTGTGTGTGTGTGCGTGTGTGTATATTTTGTGGTATTTGATGTTTGCATAACCGGTCGACGATTTGCAGCCTGTTTGGATTATGTGGGGAAAGGAACTAGTCGTGTATGAACTAAGGGCGGTACTTCCTGAATTATAAATTAAGCATCAGATGGAATTTGTAAACTAATTAGAATTTATAATTCACACAATTCTATTTATTAACTTCCCGAAGGAGAAGTTTATGTTTCATCAAAAAATCCGATTTGCTAATTTTATGTTTTCTCCTGGAAGTTGCAAGCCGTTCTGAATCGAATCAGACCGAATTTAAGGAAAAGTATTTGTGTGTTGTGTGTGTGTGTGATTGTATGTGAACAGATTTTTTACCGTAAATCGCAGTTTTCTCCAGAACGGCTAGATCGATTACATAAATTTAAAAGCCACTCGATGTATCTCGATGAGGACTTTTGTTTATCAGTTTTGTCCGATGATAAGCCTAGCCGTTTCTTTATAAATTGCAGAAAAGTGAAAAAATTTTCATCCACGTTTTATCCTCAATTCTGAATCGATTTTGAAAATTCAAAAACCGTTCGAAAGATATTGGTTGGGAATCGTGCTGATTAGTTTTTGGTAGAGATCGGCCGGACCGTTTTCTTGTAATGAATTGTTAAAAAAAATATTTCTACGATTTTTAACTTAACCAGACAGCCGTAGGGTTGTTATAGTAATGGGCCGAAAATCGAAATTGAAAATATTTGCATTTCTCGACGTTTGAAGATTTCTGAACATTTTGGCATACCTGAGAAAAAATGTGTGTGTGTGTGTGTGTGTTTTGTATGTCCGCATTTTTTCGTCCACGTTTTCGGGCGCACGGATCAACTGATTTGAATGGTTTAAAAAAACATTCGATTCCTATTGATAGGGAGATGTGCTGATTAGTTTTTGGTAAAGGCAGGTTCAGCAGTTACGGAGATACGGAGCAAAGAGTGCAGAAAATACAAATCGAGTTTTTGCGAGAACGGAGCATCCGATTTGAATGATCTAAAAAACATTCAATTTTTATTGATTGGGGGAAGAGGTGATTAGTTTTTGGCAAAGACAGGTTCCGCCATTTCAAAGATACAGGGCTTAATGTGCAAAAAATGGCAGTTTTTGAGTGAACTAAGCATCCGATTTGTAAGATTTAAAAAACTTTCTACTTGTATTGACAAAACAATTTGCTTTTGAGGATAAATATTATTACATCTTTTTTTATTTTCCATAAAATATTTTTGTAATTTTGGATTAAAAATTCAAAAAATGACCCAGGTTAAGCACAGTCTAAGCGCCACTCTGGTACAAATGTTTACCCAAGTGCGTTTAGTAGACTGCTTTTGTACTATAGCACTCTTCCAATTTTGTGAAAAATTTTGAAAAATGTGAAAATGCCGCCAAGCTAAGCACAGTATAAGTGAAAATGTCACACAGAATTATTTGCAAATAATGTAAGTGAGCACTTTTTCAATTTTGTGTAAATTTAGGCAACTATTTTTTTGAAATTGAATTCGAAATAAAATGACAATTGTTAATGTTCTGGAGATAAATTCTGAAGATTTATGATTTACATTTGATTTGCTCAGATATAACAAGATAGCAAAAATAATGAATGCTACAGTATTTGTAATGATATATTTGAAAACGTTTAATATTTCTCGAATATTTCATTACGGTACGGGAAGTTTCAGCAATTTGCCCTAAGGCACGATGCCATACACCACTAGTTATTATTATTTTTTTGACGGTAGATACCATAGTCTTCTAGATCATACTAAAATATTACGGCCCTACGACATCTCGTTTAGCATTAAAAATTCGTCAAAGTTTGCAAAAATTGGTATCGTTTTTTGGCATTTGTCAAAATTAGACGTTTCATCGACGTTTGCTCAAAAACGCCTGAACCGATTTCAGAAATTTAAAAACCATTTGATGTATCTCGATGGAGATTATCGTTTCTCAGTTTTGAGCGACGATCGGCCGAGCTGTTTCTTTGTAATTTGGAATAAAGTGTTAAATTTTTCGTCCACATTTAAGCTCATACTACCGAATCAATTTAAAAAAATCAAAAACTGTTCTAAATATATTAGTTGGGAATAATACTGATTAGTTTTTGGTAAAAATCTACCGAGCCGTTTTCTTGTAATTAACTGTTGGAAAAAAAATTTAAGACGATTTTTATGGAACTTTTTTTGATGATATATATCACGGTCTTATAGAACTTACTGAAATATTTCGGCCTTACGACAAGTAGTTTAATTTTAAAAATTCATCATGGTTTGAGAAAATGAGTAGTATTTTTGACGTTTGTGAAAATTAAAATTAGACGACTCACTTGGTTTAATAATAGAATACTTGGTCTTAATGAACATACTAAACCATTAAAGTTCTACTGAAACTGGTTCAATTATAAAAAAATATTGATTTTTGAAAAATTGCTTTTAGAAAATACTCCGAGTTAACGTGTTCGCCTTGTCAATTAAGTGTAATAAATCCACTCGTTACACTTTCAATCATTCATAAATTAATTTATATTTTATTAATTAAGTCGATTTTTTGCACATATCGGGAAGTTCATGTAACTTGCTTCAAGGCAAAATACCAACACCAATTAGTTGATAAACAAACAGTTCATCACTGTACTTTGTCCCAGATTAATACCTCGGCGAGAATTGAAAAATCGTTGCTTATACTGTTTTCAACCCTTGGACCTGGACAAGAGCGTTTTGATTAATACCTGCAAACACGCCTTTCATGTCGAGTGCATCCATATATGGTTATTCGAAGAACCCAGATGGTGCCCCAAATGCCATATTCGAGTCAGGGCTGATGACTTGATCATCACCAAGAAGAAGACTTCTGGGCACAGGCTGATGGTGCAGAATTTGGATCTTGTACGAAAGTAAGAAGAAAGGGTCTGGGCGTGTTTCCATACAGAATTGGCCCCACCCTAGTATTTAAATAACTTTGATGCCATTTTATAGAGATTTTTGAGAAAATTCGAAATACCAAATTTCAAATCCGTAGCTCATCATTTGGCCGAGATATCAGTGAAAACATGTGAAAGTGGCCCCTTTTTTCAAACTCACTTTTTGTCGGAAATATGAGAGATATCGAAAAATTGTTAACGTTATTTTATTTGTACTGATTTTGTCTATGTTGTTCATAACAAATAATGTGAAAAAATTATTTGTTAGTGCGTGAAAAGGTGAAAATGATTTTTCATTTTCCATTTTCTACCAGTGCGACTGTTTTGTAGGGAATGCAATATCGGCATACCGGTATACCGAATTACCGGTGAACCACTCGATTTTTCGGCGGTATTTTTACCGGTATTTATTCTAAAAATACCGGTATTTTTACATAAGCGCTATTTGGAATATAATACCCTTAAGTTTAAATTTCTCGGAACAAATTTATCTTTAAAATCCACAATCGCATAAACAGCTATATCTTCAAGTGATTCTATAAGATAAACAAATGTCAAATATTATCTCAACTCGTCATTAAACTGAATATTTATTGCTTTCCAGAGGGCTTCATATCGTATTACAATAAATAGAATTTGACTGATAGATAATGATGTTTGTTTCATCTTTTGTAAAAATGTAACCGTTTTTTAAGTGATATTTCCGCCAAAATATTTTATATCAAATAGATTACCCCTGCGTAATCTTTATTTTTTTCTAACTTTATACATAATAATTATGATAATTACTAAATATTTTTGCTTCTTATTATAATTATAAAATATTATTTTTCGAAAACGTTTCGAAGTTTGAAAATACTATAGAAGCCTCACAATGTGATAAATAATAATACTCAACAATTATCGTAACTTATTATTTATCTTGACAAAGTATCGGATCTTAAATTAGTGTAGAGATTATGCTAATTTAACACATCGGATACAGACAATACAGTTTATTATAATAATGTAATATGATCTTTTATGAGTTTTTGGTCTTTCTTACTCCTGAGTTTGTTTTAGGTGAAAAGACTCAATATACTATTATCACAATAGTGATAATGAATTAATTAAACTGCATATACTTTTGTTAAATTATTATTTAAAAAAATAAACTTATTGTTTTATTTTATTATTTAGTTAAATATAGCTGTAGTTGTATATACATTTTTTTATATTTGTACTAGTAATTTACCGGTATTCCGGTTTTAAAATGAAAAATTACCGAAATACCGGTATTGAAATTCTCCATCGGTATTGCATTTCTTACTCTTTTGACTACTTTTAAACTAGTATCATTCGAAAGCCTGTACATTTTTCTTCTGTTATTCAAAAATTCATTTAAATGTAAGTGGAACTTTGGGAGAAAAGTTGGAAAAACTTAAGCTAGTACACGCGCTGCCTGTACAAGAACGCCCATATAAAGTCGCTTTGCAAGAGCGATGAGCAAGCATTAGGCTCGTCGTTATCGCGCGTCTCGACAAAATTCTGTATATAAGTGTGGAAATATTTCTTAAAAACAAAAAATTTATTTATATCTTATATATAAGTATATTCATTAGTCATAATAAAAAATCCAACGCGCCGAATAAAACAATTTTTATTATTATTGATTATTTTCATTCGCCGTATAAGTTCTGACTAATATATTTCAATGTATAAAAAACTTAAGATTTCAATATTTTTCATATATTTACGTCGGCAATAAAAAGTATTTTAATTTTAATTCATTACCTTTTTTGATTTTTTGCAATGTTATTATATTTTATATAGTTATCATTAAATAAAAAATCGATAAAAGTATATGTAAGAATCATTTCATAGCTACTCAACGCAAGTATATAAGTATTAAAAATATATTAAGTATTAAAAGTATATTACAAAAAATATATCTCTGTTGTTAAAATTATAATTATTATGGCTATCCATGGCTATCCAAATGACAACTATTATTTTTTCAGCGAATAGTAAAAACAATTATAATTATTTTTTTTATGTAACCACTATACAATTCTGCATCATCCACAGTTTTCTCAATTTAATTCCCTTTCTATGTAAACATTTATTGTAATACTTGCAATTTTTCGATATCATGATAAAATTGTCACTAAAATGTAAAATTATTGCAATTTCAGTCAAGTTATAAATAGTGCACAGAAAAGAAAATATATTTTTTGCAAAACTAATATCGATTCAAAAAATAATAATTGCTATTTTTCCTCTAATAAAAAAACCACAATAATTATAATTTGTGAAATTCTATGTGTAAACAAATTGCTCACAGAGATATATTTTTCAATATACTTTTAATATATGAAAAATATTGAAAACTTAAGTTTTTCATACATTGAAATATATTAGTCAGAACTTATACGGCGAATGAAAATAATCAATAATAATAAAAATTGTTTTATTCGGCGCGTTGGATTTTTTTATTATGACTAATGAATATACTTATATACAAGATATAAATAAATTTTGGTTTTTAATAAATATTTCCATACTTATATACAGAATTTTGTCGAGACGCGCGATAACGATTTGCTCGTCGCTCTTGCAAAGCGATTTTATATGGGCGTTCTTGTACCGGCAGCGCGCGTACTAGCTTAAGTTTTTCCAACTTTTCTCCCAAAGTTCCACTTAGATTTAAATGAATTTTTGAATAATAGAAGAAAAATGTACAGGCTTTCAAATGATGCTAATATAAAAGTAGTCAAAAAAGCCGCACTGGTAGAAAATGAAAAATAAAAAATCATTTTCACCTTTTCACGCACTAACAAATAATTTTTTCACATTATTTTTTATGAACAATATAGACAAGATCAGTACAAGTAGAATGACGTTATATCTCGGCCAAATGATGAGCTACGGATTTGAAATTTGGTATTTCGAATTTTCTCAAAAATCCCTATAAAATGGCATCAAAATTATTTAAATACCAGGATGGGGCCAATTCTGTATGGAAACACGCCCAGACCCTTTAATACAATTTTCTTCTGTACATTATTTTCTATCCCGTTGTTTTCCAGGGATGACATCTATCCTGATTGTGACTTCTGTTCAATATGTTTCGAGGGACTTCCTCACTTCTGTTGCTCTCTAATAACGAAGTGCAACCATGTATTCCACAGGCGTTGCATCCTGAATTGTCTCAAGAACAATGCCAGTTGTCCTTTATGCAGAGTTCGGTTTGGACTTGATGATCTGCTTAATGTTTTTTGAAAGGGAGCACCAGGTGGATGAAGATGTATAATATTGCAGTTGCAACGAGTACAAGAAATTGTTTTATATTTTCATAAATAAATAACAAAATCTGATATTTAACTCTTTATCACAAATATTACAAATATCACTCTAGAGGTAATATTTAATTGGTAAAACTATTTGATTTAAGGGGCACAACTAGTGTAACCGCCTAAAAAAAGGTGATTTTTGGGAATTTATATTAAAAAAACTACTTTATCAATAATTTCAAAATTTTAGGAATATATTTATACATGTGTTAAGAATGCATAGTAAAATTTTTGAAGAAAAAAATTAAATATTTTTTAAGTTATCGTTGATCTCCAACGGCGCGACAAAAAAAGGCCCTTCACTGCTGCAGTGATTCCGGCCTTCCACGTGGATGAAATTTAAAAAAAAATCGTTAAACTAGATAATATTGTCTGTAAAATGAACTACGATAAAGAAAAAAATCAAAAATTGACAAAAATTTTTTAAAAAAAGTCGAATTTTGCCCAAAATGTTGGTTGTTTTTACACTTCCAAAATTCGATTTTTGATCCGATCAAAAAATCGATAGTTCATTTTACGGAGAACTATATATAGAACATGTAAAAAAATTGATAGTGATCGAATCATTTGTTTTTGAGTAACCGCTGCACCAAATTCGGAAAATGCTGTTTCGAGAAAAACACGTTTAAAGATTAAATGATCGTTATACTATATACTATATATATACTCTTTAAATGGCTTTAACTCAAAAACTATTTAAGATATCGATTTAAAAATTTTGTATGTTATTTTTAAAGGTATAACCTATCGAAATATGGAAAAATTGAAAATTTGATTTTTTTGAAAATTTTACACTAGTTGTGCCCCTTAAGATTTTTTTATTATAAGATAAAATCATGTGTGTTAAATACCAGTTACGTTATGGCAGTAATTATTGCTAATATATTTCAAGTAAAACTTCTAATGCAATTGCCAACATAGTTAAATGTGCAACTCTTGGAGAGGGATGAATTGGTAAAAACAAAGTGAGAAGTTTCTGAAAATGTGGACTGTCTGAAAATGTTATAAGTTGTCTGAAAATGGTGCAAGTTATCTAAGAATGTAGTAAATTGACTGAAAATGTTGTAAATCGTTGGAAATGAATATAATGGCGCAATTCTGTCGTAACAGAGCTCATAAAATAGCGTTGTCATGGCAATGCTCTCTTATGCTTGTTGTTGGTATTGAAAATTATGACATAGACATTTTCATAATTTTTATTATCCATATTATTTATATTATAATTAAATCGATTTTAAATTTAATAGACTTTAGAGGGCGTCTATTAGTCACGTGATCGACTTTATTACTACGAAATCAAAAAGAGAAGTTTAAAACTGATATCTTGTGTTCTTTTGATCATTTTATTATAAAAATGAATTGATACAAGTAGAAATTAAATCAAATAATACTATTTTCGTTATATAATACATATAATTTCTGTAGTTTTTCAAACATTTATTAAAATTCTATAAAAATTCTATTAAGTATTTTGATAGAAAATGAATTGTAATAAAAATGATCAGCCCGAACAGACCACTTTCTGTTTGTGTCCGTTGGAACAAACCAAATGTCAAAATTTGAAAATGACATTTAAGAGAAACATAACCTAGAAAAATAATTTCAAAACCAAACATACAAAGTGCTTAATTATATCTAATAATTAAAATATATGATTCTATCATAATAATATAATCCATTTAATTATTAACTAACTTGCTAAAGCTATAACTAAATTACATTTGTTTATCAATTTCATAAAATTTACATTTGTTGGAATCAACAGATGTCGAACACAAGTTGAGAAAACTTAATTATTTTTAATCTTGATTAAATTTATGATTAAATTTGTTTGTTGTTTATTCAAATATGCCCTATGTTTTGATATTTGGTGCTGGATTCATTGCTTTTTGTATATATTATTTATTTTTTAAAAGTGAAAGTCTTCCTCCAATCCATGTGTATCCACCCGGTTATAAATTTGTCCTAGATGAGGATCTTCTTAATAGAATATTAGAAGAAGAGAGGTAATAAACTGTATATAACATATTTTATATTCTATTAATATTTATATGCAAGTATTAAAAAACAGCTGTTAGAATATAGCATACAAACTCCAGTTGTATTTATATATACATACACACACACATTGTATATATACACACATGCATATATATATATATATTTATATATATATATGAATCATTAGCCTTCTCAGGGAAAGACGCACTAGGAGACTATGCTATGCTTGTTTAACAATGATAAAGCGAGATGCTTACAATATTTTATCAAAAGTGATAATACGAAAATGCAATCATTCTTTTCATCCACACTGCTTATTCATGAAATTGCGTAATAAAGATGCTTGTAAACAATGCCCAATTTGCAAAACTCATATTGAACTCGAAGACCTAATCATTCGCTCAGCAAATGCAAGACTTGAACGTCTGTTCAAAACTCGTTTTGAAATCTTATGGATCGATTAGTAAGTTTTGAAATTTAAATAATAGTTCATTAGCTTTACGGTTATTTAATGTAATTGTTTTTTAAGCTTATGTGAATTACGTCAAAAGGAAAACTGTGCAATTTGTCTTGAGAGCATGATCGACAGTGATTGTTCGATAATTACAAAATGTGGTCACATGTATCACACCATGTGCATCTGGTTATCTTATATGGATTCAAAAAAGTGTCCAATGTGTAGGAAAATCATTATTGGTAGAGATATTAAAGATCTAAATTTAAGACTAAAATATATTTAAATGATACTGAATAGGTTTTCTACTTTTTGATATTTTAAATGAGGAACTAATATTAGATTTTATATTAAATAAGTTAATATAAAATGTGACTATGAAATGAAAGAAATATATTATATTGTTATTTTTATAAATATTAGTTATTAAGTCTTTAAAATAATCTTTATTTTATATATTTTTATATATTTAGTTTTATATATTTAATTTATATATTTAAGAAAATTAAATTGTATTTTAATATTATATATATATATATATATATATATACTTTTTTAAATGTGAAACTAACATCAGATTTTATAACAAATATATTTATATATATAAGTGACTGAAATGCTAAGCAATAGTATTTATACTATTATGTTTTTAAAATAATCTTTATGTTACCGTTTATTTTATATAATAATCCTTATTATTTTTTTAAATTAGAAGAATAAATTATTTTTTTATATTAGAAAAATAACTCTATTGCAATGACTAGATGACCCGACAGACATTGTCCTGTACCCATATATATGTCTACAATTTGTTAATATCCTATACTAATATTTACCGTTCACCTAAAAATATATTTTTTAAATTTATAATATTTAAATTACATTTTTCTTAAAAATAATTTAATATACATTATTACCAGGGACGCTCCTGAGGTTCTCAGCGCTTCCACCCCTATCATTTTACATGTTTTAACAGTTTATTATTCAATTCATTATCATTAATTAATATTTGGCTTTTGAAACATTTTACTTACTTATTTTTGGCATTTTATGCAATTTATTCTATTAAGCAAATCATAGAGAGCAAAAAAATCTAGTCTTTCATTATTAAACATAACCATAACATAGCACTGGTACTTTATGTTGGATTATTTCAATTTAATTTTTTTATTATTTAAAATATCCTAAATTGCATCTTAAACTTCTCCAAATTGATATCGTAAGGGCAGAATTGTATGTATTCATCTTTACTTTCCTATTTGTTGTTGTAATGTGAAATTCTTAACGTATTTTAAAAATATTATGCAAAGATTAGTAAAGGATGCATAGAAATTATATATTTCTTGAATAATATTGCAAAAAAAAACTTTATTGAAAATTTACCGGTCTTGATTATTACTTAATTTCATATTTTAAGTGAATTAATTTATCAAATCTTGTTCATATGTGTATCATTCAATCTGCCATACATATACTGCATTTTATATTATTTTAATTTCGGGCACATCTCAGCTACTTTTAGGCAATAATAATGTAGACATTACATTTTCTTATTCATGATCATGGATTTATTATACATATTGTTAAAAACATTAATTATGCAACTATTTACATTAACCTCGTGGGTTCGAATCCCACTTCTGAAATGTTAGAAACATTAATAATGCAACTATTTACATTAAAACGGTTGACAATCGGCCGAGCCGTTTCTTTGTAAATTGCAGAAAAGTGAAAAAAATTTCGTCCACGTTTTAGCCCGCAATTCTTAATCGATTTTGAGAATTCAAACACCGTTCGAAATATATTGGTTGGGAACCGTGCTGATTAGTTTTTGGTAAAGATCGGCCGGGCCGTTTTCTTGTAATAAAGTTTTTTTAAAAAAAAATTCGACGATTATTATTATTATATTTTGACGGTAGATACCATAGTCTTCTAGATCATACTAAAATATTACCGCCCTATAACAAGTCGTTTAGCTTTAAAAATTCATCAAAGTTTGCAAAAATTAGTATCTTTCTTTTGGCATTTGTCAAAATTAGACCTTTGATCGACGTTTTCTCAAAAACGCCTGAACCGATTTCAGAAATTTAAAAGCCATTTGATGTATCTCAATGAGGACTATTGTTTGTCAGTTATGTGAGACGATCTGCCAAACCGTTTTTTTGTAATTTGAAAAAAAGTTTTAAACTCTTCGTCCACATTTAAGCTCAAACTGCCGAATCGATTTTAAAAAATCAAAAACTGTTCGAAAGATATTAGTTGGGAATGGTACTGATTAGTTTTAGGTAAAAATCTACCGAGCCGTTTTCTTGTAATTAACTGTTTAAAATAAATTTTTAAGCCGATTTTTATGGAACTTTTTTTGGCGATATATATCACGGTCTTATACAACTTATTGAAATATTACGCCCTTACGACAAGTAGTTTTTTTTAAAAAATCACCAATTTTTAAGAAAATGAGTAGTTTTTTTGACGTTTGTTAAAATTAAAATTAGACGAATTACTCGGTATAACGACAGAGTACTTGATCTTAATGAATATAATAAACCAGTAAAGTCCTAAGGAAACTGGTTAAATTATAAATTTATTAATCTTTGAAATTTTGCTTTTAGAAAATACTCTGAGTTAGTTAACGCGTTTGTTCGTTTTCAATTAGGTGTAATAAATCCACTCGGAATACTTTTAATGGATCATATGTTAATTTATTTTTTATTGATTAAGTCGATTATTTAATCATATCGGGAAGTTCATGTAACTTTCCTCAAGGCAAAATACCAAACCAACTAGTTATTTAGCAATTTATAAAAATGTGATAAAATGATCAGTCGGAACAGACCACTTTCCGTTTGTGTCCGTTGAAGCAAACCAAATGTCAAAGTTTGACATGACACTTAAAAGAAAACATAACCTTGTAACGAAAAATGACTTTCTCGAGAAAACAAATAACACATGCTTTTTAATTAAGTGTTAATGCTATAACTGCATTATGTCTTTTCCTAAACTTTATAAAATATACATGTTTAAAAACTAGTGACTGTTCGTATAAACAGATGTGGAAAAGTGTTCGAAAGAAACTTAATTTTAATTAGTTTATTTTATTTTTTTCAATATGACCTTAGTTTTGATATGTGCTGCAGGATTAGTTGCTTTATTATTATTATTCATATATTATTCATTTTTTAAAAAGGAAGATTATTCTGTAGCAACTCGAGGGGAAAGGGAATGGTAATAATTTTTAATATTTATATAAATTTATATATATATATATATATATATATATATATAACTTATGTATTATTATCATAGGGCAATCCATTATCAAAGAAGATGTGCTTTGAATGCACGACAGGAAAGTCATGGTATAATATATATATATATATATATATATATATATATATATATTTAAGTATATAAAATTTTTTCATCATTATCACAGGGAAATGTATGAAATTATTAGACTTTTACGGGAGTTTGAACAAAGGTACAAAATATCATATTACTATATATACATATAAATATACATATATAAATTATCCATTGCTGTCATAGGAAAATCCAGGAAAGATATTTTAAACAATGTAGCTCTTGTTTACTTTTCGAAGGTCAAGATGAAATAAATGTAACAATTCAAAAATGCAATCACGTTTTTCATTCAATATGCTTTTACCAGCATATACTCAGTAATTATGCTCGTAAACAGTGCCCAACTTGCAAAGTTCATATTGAATTCGAAGACCTCATCATTAAATCAGTCTTTGAAAAGATCAAAAAGTTTCTAGTCACTATTTGGAAACAAGAGTAAGTCTTGAAATCTAATACTAATGCTTTATTTTTATCTAATATTATTCTTTTTTTAAGCATACATAAGTTACGTCGAAAGGAAAGTTGTGCAATCTGTCTTGATGGCTTGATCAAAAGTGATTGTTCGAGAATCACAAAATGTGGTCATATGTTCCATGGAAAATGCATCTGGAAATCTTTAACAAGATTGAACAAATGTCCGATGTGTATGGAAATTATCACTTTTAATGATATTAAAGATCTAGATCTTAATTCTCCTTCTACTTCTTGATATCTTAAGCAAAGTAATAAATTCATATATTATAACAAACATACTCTAATGTAAGTGACTGAAAGATAAAAAGTGATAATTGTGTGCAGTCTCTTGCATCTTATTTTTATAAACTACATTTTTATATAATGCTTATTTTATAATATTTTTTTTGTATTAAAAAAAACTGTTTTAATTGTATTGTAATATCACATATTTTATGTTTAAAATATTTAAATGCACAGAAAGCAATAGACTGAACTTTTTTGACTCGACTATACTACATTTATTCAAAAGATGTGTACCCGAAGAATGTTTATTTAAATTCTATAATAATTGTTTTATAATTTGCAGTCTGTAAACATTTTGATAAAAATTGAGTTTTAATAAAAATGATCAGTCCGAACAGACCACTTTCTGTTTGTGTCCGTTGGAAAATGACATTTAAGACAAACATAACCTAGAAAAATAGTTTAAAAACCAAATATACAAAGTGCTTAATTATATCTATTAATTAAAATATATGATTTTATTATAATAATATTATTAATTTAATTATCAACTAACTTGCTATCACCATGTCTAAATTTCATATTTTTAATAATTTCATAAAATATACATTTGTTTTCCAATCAACAGATGTCAAAAACAAATGTGATAACTTCTTTTTTGTTTTTTTTGAATTTGATTAAATTTTTTATGTTTATTTAACAATGCCTTATGTTTTGATAATAATTTATGCTGTAATAATTGTTTATTGTTCATATCATCTATTTTTTAAAAGTGTAAAAGAGGAAAGTATTCCTCCAATCCGTGATGTGTTGTATCCACCCGGGTATAAATTTCTTGTGGACGAGGATCTTGTCAGAGAATATTTTGAGTAATAACTATATAAGTTTTTTAAGTTAATTTATGTATATTATGTATCCTATATATATATATATATATATATATATATATATATATATATATAATATGTGAATCATTAGATTTGAAAGGAAAAGACGCCCTAGGAGAAAATGCTTTGTTTGTTCATCAGTAATAAAGCGGGATGCATACCATGTTTTAACAAAAGTGATAATACGAAAATGCAATCATTCTTTTCATCCAAACTGCTTATTCATAAAATTACATAATAAACATGCTTGTAAACAATGCCCAATTTGCAAAACTCATATTGAACTCGAAGACCTAAGCATCCGCTCAGGAAATAATAGACTTGAACTTCTGTACAAAGCTTGTTTTGAAAACTTATGGATCGATTAGTAAGTT